TTATATGTTGGGCTACCTGTGCCCCTTGACCATATTAGGGAACCTCATGGTCGGTTGTGTGTGCAATAAAGCAGAGACAAGACAACCCAGAAGTTGTGTGCTTTCTTTCGTTATAATTCCTAGTATATTACATCTAGCTCTAAGTCTTTAGTCTTTTTTTTATCTGGTAAGACAAAAAGGGAGGAGAGGGAAAAAAGAAAGTTGAGGGGAGGAGCGGGAGAGAGAAAGAAGATAGAGCTGCAATCTAGAAGAGCTAACTGACAGATCTGAGTTATTTTCGGTAATTCGAAAGTTTTGCGCAAACATAATTATACAATTTTACAATTTTACTATTGACTTCTTTCCTGGTCAATTCCTGTCAGCATTTGCTGGACTTCGATACTTACAAGTTATAGTTTGTATCTTGTTGATGTCCAATGACTTGCTTATCACCATTATATCTTTTAGGTATCCATGGAGGGTTTGGTTATATCTCAATGCTCCTGAAGTTTTAACACCCAGAATTAAATTCCCCTTTCCTGTGATTGACGGAAAGACATTGCTTGTCCAAGTAGTTTTCTTTTTCCCATCGATGACGTAATGCCACAAACCAGTCGACTTGTTTCCACTCACCGCATAATGGGTCCAGGCATTATATTCAAAACTGAAAAAGGAAAGAAGAAGAAACAATTACACCTGAGCCTGTGTCTGTGCCAACTGTTCTCTATTTTGCCTATAATTCGCAACCGAACTACTTACTGTGTTGCTTTTCCTCTTTGGCCAATGATGCAAACGCCCAATTGGGTTGTTCCAAATTGGTAATAAAAGTCAACGATCACCGGGGGCGAATCCATCGAGAATGACTCGTTCACAAAAACTAATGGATGCAGCCATCCTCCCGATGTACCATGAAAAACTTTCAGCCAAAACGTGATGGTAAAACCATCGGGATTGATATCGACAAGAGGAATATGTGCATATCCTTGTTTACCAGTGAAATACAAAGCAGTCTGTCCATCCACGTATCTATACAGTACATCACCTGGTGTTCCATTCAACCTGAGATGAGAACAGATTCTGTAGTTAAGTTGCTGCCACAAACTATACAGTAAATACAGACATGACATCCTCATTATATGATTTATAAGTTTTATTTACGAAACAACTTACTGGACAGTGGGCATGGGCTGGTTCAATTTCCAGGCTTCATAGGGTGCTCCAAAGTCAGGAAAGTCTATTAAAGAAAGATGTGAATTGTATTTAGTATATGAACTATGAGCAGCAGATATGCTTGAGGATTTGGGCTGTTGTGAAAAAATTCAATTGAGAATAACATCTGCCGTATCAAATGTCAAAGTTCAGGAAGTCGAAGAATCTCAAAGTGSCGTGTTTGTGACAATACAACTTGTGAAACGGTATTATTTTGGTCTTTATTGCATTTCCCTTGTTTTATTAATTGAATTCACGGGTGTTCCGACGATTTTTTCAAAACAAACAAACAAAAAAAAAAAAAAAACTAAAAAAAAACATCGACTGCCTGACGTTTAGTTTTGGGACTAAACGTAAGGTAGTCGAAAAATCTCAAAGTGCCGTGCTTGCGCATATAAACTTGTCRAACAGTATTATTTCAGTCTTTATTGCATTTCCCTGGCTATTATTTACAGTTGTTCCGAAGAATTTTCAAACAAAACAAAACAAACAAACAAACAAACAAAARCAAAAACCCGGCTACCTGACATTTAGACACTGCGAAGTATTTTTTAATAGGAATATGAACTGAGTTGGTGCATGCATATCAGACGGTACTTACATGTGTATCATTAAATGTAATACTGGTCACAAGTAAATTCCGCGTGTTGGATATGAAAATCGGTCAAACCTTTTCAATTTAATAAAATGTATGTAATATAGTTTTACAGATATCTTTTAAATCCTCTGCTGCGTCACGTGATTTTGCGAGAATGTTAGAACGTACATGCATACAATGTCTATCGTATGTTTACAGAAACTCTGTTCTTTATCTTACTTTTTATTTTACCTTCTCTRAAGTATGATAAGTTAAGTTGCTTCGCAAAGACTTCGTTTGCAATGTCGTTTTCGTGTGTGTTGGTAATGGAGAGAAGATCGCCACCTAACGACTGACAATGGCTACGGGCATCGGTCCAGTTCTTTTTCTCTTTGAATAGCTTGATAGCAGTGTCTCCATAGCGACGCCATCCATTGCCCAAATCTATGGTAGTCATGGCCACTTATTATTGATTTCTATTCACTAATAATCATGTAATGATTATCATAAAAAGACACCCCATAATATTAAATTATCCTATTTTACTAGCACCAGCATTTATGTACATACGTACATAAATATTTTATTTGGAGCTTTGCACACAAACTTAATTGTACATAAACTTAATTCCAAACAAGATAAGAAAACTAATAGATAATTATGACATACTTGTGTCAATATAGCATACATTATTATACTTATTGGATTAAATTAAGTGTACAAAATATTTTGTATATTTCTATATCCCTTACAATTACATTACATAAGTGAAAATATGAGTGTCAAAAATTGATATGAAATAATCCTTCTTTTTTCCAAGAAGCATCAAGTTGAAACAGCGCCAACTGCAACAGCTGATTGAAAATTATATATAGTCATTTTTTAACCTATCTATCGGTCCGGGTTGCAGATATCTTAATTTGGACCTGCATTATTCGAAATCTCATCAGTACTGTAACTGAAAATTGCGTCTTCCTTTACTTAACCTAAAAGCTGGGTGATTTGAGAAAATGCGACTAGCCAATCAGCGCAAAGCTGACAAGCTTATGTTGTAAACATAACCCTCCGACGGGAGGAATTTGCACAGCAAAACTCGACCCAGTGGAGTAGGCTGCCTGTCATTTTATTCTATCCGAAAAATCGAAGCTAAAACGCAAAGAGAAATTGAAAATCTTTATAAAATAGCTTTTAAATGTCAATCAAATATTTATCGTCATAGAAAGATAATTTTATCTTAAAAATGAAAAAAAAAAAATAACTTTTTCTTTAATACCACGAGACTCCCTTCCCTGATAGAAATAATTGTTCTGTGTTCTACGCGGGTTCTCCATTGCATGCGAAGCAATGACCGACTTCACGAAGACTTCAGAAGGTCGTTGAAGCGACGTTCAAGTCAAAAGTATCGAAGGAAGAACAGGAGGAACCATTGCAAATCATTTTTCTTAGCTCTGTTTCCTCTAAGGTTTGAGGTATCTACAACATCACTGGAAGAGCTAGAGCAGCTTAGGTCCATGTGTTCCAATAGAGTTAAAGCGTTTAATTTGTTTGGCACAAACAACGGTCGTAGTTCATTCTTTCTCGCATTTTCGGCAATAAGCCGCAAGCGTGCTCGACGATTTGACGTTATGTAACAGGCCAGTTACACATTTACTAGCTCTGACCTTACAACGAGAGCTAGAACGGTGACTGGGGTTTTTCGTGTAATGTCTTGATAGCGACTGTTTATGTCGAAACAACTCAAAACAAAATTCCATCGTGAAAAAAGTTCAACTAAATTCCCTTCTGAAAAACACGTGTGTATTTAAAAGGTGGAAAATGTTTCATATGAGCATTCAATTCTTAAAGGTTTTTAAAATTCTATAATCATTTTGTTTAGTTATGCAAATAAATTTAATATTTGTTTATCTGAGTGAAAGGCGAGCTGCGGGTTTTCCCTTTCTTTATTTACACTTTCAAATATGACCGCTTAAHADAAATGCACGGGCTCACTGGCTTACAACCTTGGCGAATTCATATGCAGGCCTGGTCGCAAATCAATCACCCAGAGAGTATTTGGCCTCTCTTAGAAAAAAAAAAAAAAATACCACCCCTTCTCACCAAGTCCCAATACTCAGATTACCTTYACTAACTAAAAAGAACCATTCTTGTGATTACCATAAAAAAATATTATCTAAAGCTCAGACAGAGTCACTGCATTCTTATGAATAATATATTCGTCTGCCTGTCTACATTTTATAGGATCTCATAACATTTTTTAAAAGGTGCAAAATCAAAATATGTTTTAGTTACCTTCTTTTCTCTTGCATTCATTGAAGTTGCAAATGTGAGCGCTAACGTTCTACAGACAAGATTCAAATATTAATATTTATGTTTACTAAGGTCCCGTTTATTCGTATTGGAGTCATACCGCCATTTCATGATAAGACCACCCTTCTCTCTTCACCATCTTGTGTGGATTTGCTTTCTTACTCGAGTTATTCAACTCACATACAAACATTCCTTCACTTGTTTGGTGGATATTTATAGAGAAGCACCATGGCAACCAGACGCAATCACCCCAGCAGAGATTCTTAAGGGGCTTGGTTACGGTCTTCATTACGTGACCTTCAAGAGACTGCGGTCCTTTACTTTCGATAAAGCGATATACTTCGCAAGAGAATATGGATTGCATGTTAAAGGCTTGCAAAGCATACAGGATGTACAGAATCTGAATTTAAACAGATATGTTAAATGGAAATTCTSACAATCAACAGCGAAGAAGCGATGCTGTCAGAAATTGATAGTCTCCCGGCACGGYGGAAGAAGCTTGGGTATGAGCAAAGGCTCGTGGGTAGGTAGTATATAATGGCACGTGCAACAAGGTTCTGGTCATCTAAGCTAGTAAGGCCGAGATACAGCTTCGTTTTTTTTTAAGTGCTGGTACGATGAGATCCGAGGATAAGCGTTTTTTTTTTAGTTTTTGCTAGTTTATAGTATTAATAATACCATAAATAAGGCATTTTACATTTTAGATGAAGAGAACATGTTGAAATTTGCCATTATTGTCGTCGATTTTCGATCTGCCATTAACCGGCAGCCATTTTGGAAGATGAGGTAGCGAATTTTGACGTCATATGTTTAACACGAGTGAATTTGTTAACATGAAGTACTGTGTGAATCCAATGTGAATCGAATGTTGTTTTCGAAATATTGCAATGTTTTTGGCACAAACTGTTATCTTTACGTTATTAGCTGTATTGAATATTTATCACTGACTCCATACGTATATCATATCTGATGTTCGAGCTCAGTTTTCTGTTTCTGAATGAGACGTGGCTGTCTGACAAGTTTTGTTGTCAAAAGCACAGCAAATTCAATCAAACAAGGGTGAAGGTTTGATTGCTAAATAGTTATTTATTAAGATGAGATTATTGAGATATTAAGTGATATTGCGCCAATAAAAAGCTATTCTAAAGCTATCAGACATATATTTGTATATAGTTATAAGGTCTTAAGATGCTTTTTGAATTCGAAGATCGATGAGAGATCACGTATACAAAAGGGAAGACTGTTCCATAWGAAAGGAGCAGGTACGTCACACTTGCGCGTGCTCAACGGAATAATAATCGGAAGTCGGCACAGGTATTTTTCTTGCTTCTCGGCGGTGGAGACAAGTATAGCTCTGTTTGCAGAGGAGTAAAAATACGTCCCTTGCTAGCTCTTGCTCTTGCTCTCTTGCTTTTTGACCCCAATGGTAGTACATCCATATCTGGGCGTTTATATTGTATCGAAGTCTATAGAGCTAAAGCTCTGTTCTGGRTACCTAGTTCATCGAGCTCGCATACAAGACCGAAGAGCATCATGGGAAATCGTAAGAATTCGACATGAAGTATG